TATAAAAACAGAAAATAAGTATAATTATTTGATCAGTAAAATTAAATCTTTAAGAAACAGCCTATCATTTTTAATGCACAGTCAATGAATTCTTCCTAAGAGCTATTTCTCTCTCCATCCTCAGCTATCATTGTGCTTCTCACTCATTTTTTATCCTTCATGTAAGGCTTTTCACACTATCCCTCTCTCAGAAAAGTTGCTCCTCAACTTCTCTCTAAACTCTCAGCCTTCTATTCTTGTCTCTTTCAAGTTTCACATTACTGTTGAAGCTTGGTAGTACAGTTTTTCAGTAAATAATATTAAAAAATTGTAGTAGACCTATAGACTTCTGAATTTACAATCTAAAATACAATTACATATTTTTATTTGAGAATTATATTAGTCTAGTTATACAGTTTTTTTCTTTTTTAACTCCCAGATTATGATTTTTATCTCTAGTTCAATTAGGTGTTTTACATTATCGGTAGCGTATAGCTGAAGGCACACTGTGGCTGTAGAAAGATGCGTAATGGAAAAATAATGGAAAACTTCTTGGGTGAGGTCCAGTATCCAGGTCTGGATGCCAAGGACCACATATGGAGTCAAGACCACAGCTGGCTCTCATGGGAGAAGTCCATTCTAAAGAAACAGTTCTCCCAAGACCATAATCTGCAGATAACAAAGACCTTCCCTGTTCCCAGCATAATAGTGAGGCAAAGTCAATGCCATGCACAAACTAGGACCTCATGGGAGGGGGCTGTGGGGAATGCAGCCATTAAGAGATGGCTGAAACTGCTGCTCAACATCAGTAAGTCCTCCATTCTCCAGGCTGCTTTACCATCAGCCTAGCACCAGAGTAATGTGGAACAGTGGCTCAGAGCAGTAGGGAACTAAAGATCCAGGTTCATGTGAGGGGACCATATCTCCAGCTCATGGGAGGGGACCACTCTTCCAGCTCGCAGGATGGGACCAAAGCTCCAGGTACATGGGAGGGGACGAAAGCTCCTGCTCAGAGGAGGGGACCACAGCCCATGATCCTAATCACTCCATCTCTCTCTTTATATATCTATGAATTTTCTGATGGGTCATCTCATTGAATTTCTACTAATATTTTCTATTCCCATAACTCACTAATCTTCCTTCTCTATGATTTTACTTTCCTAAAATATGAAATCTATTCATATGCTTAATTCACATTTCTCTTGGGTTCTCAACATTTTGTAATTTTATATTTAATTTCTCTCTCTCTCTCTCTCTCTCTCTCTCTCTCTCTCTTTTTCTCTCTCCTCCCCATACACACATGCGCTTGCTTTCTTCTTTTTG